GGGGGGGGGGGGATGGGTCACGTTTCACAATGAAAACAAAAGCCGTTTCACCAATTCACGTATGTCAAAAAAGCAATTTCACATTTCACGGAAATTCTAATAAAAATAATATAATAATAATACTTAGGTTTATTAATAGTATGCTTAATACATGGTACAGCATCTACGCTTTAAGTTATCTCACTTCTCTGCCTGGCAGTTAAAAACTGCATTATAACTTACATGTTTCAGTGACGTGTATGTGCGACGACCTCCAAAAGGCCTGAGAAATTTTTGCTCTTGTGCAATCGAGTGAGATCGATCATATCAATTATTATCGCATATTATGTCTATTATGACTATTATAAAATAGATTGAAATAAACAAAGTAAAATCACAGTTCACAAAACAAACATCCTTAATTCTCATTTCACGTAGCCTGCGAACAGGCTCTCAAGCTGAATTGAGAGCCTGCATCGATGACTAATGAATTTGAATATCTGCGTCTCAAATCGTGACGCGAAATTCTCATTGGTCAGATACTATAATTTATATGTTCCCGCTGAGCTCTATATATGTCAACTGCTAGCACTATGTATAAAAAACACATTAACTGATCAAATTGGTCTTGGCCATCTTATCTCAAAGCACGAAATGTTCTGTTTTGAGAAAACAGTATTTAAAACATTTGAACTTTTGCTTTAATATCTTATATTTCGAAAAACAGTATAAACTGTACAGTCTAAATTTAGTTTGTACGGTCTAAATTTAGTTTGCACGAAAGTTGTAAACAACACCATATAAGGATAGACATTCCATATTTGGAAAAACGAACGTTACGGGGCAGATATTCAAATTCATTAGTCGTTGATGCAGGCTCTCAATTCAGCTTGAGAGCCTGTTCGCAGGCTACATTTCACGGAGCATTTTTATCGACAATCACGCCTCACGGCTATAGAACAAATCACATTTCACGACACCAAAGTCAAGCATTTCGCACGAACAAAATATTGACCATTCACGACTCACGAAAATGACCCTTTCCCACCCTCAATACTCGGCTATTCCGGTCATCACTTTTCTCTCTACTTTGTTTCTTGTGCTTTTTTCCCATTTCCTAACTTTTTCCTTGAATAATATTTTATAAATACGTTTCAATTCAACTCAATATCTTGGCAAAAATAGTAGAAAACGATCAGTGTTTCAAACGCACCAGTAATTCGACTAAAGATTCAACTATTTCGGCGAGGTAGTCAACAAATTTGCGCGCTCCTGTCACGCCCAAGTGCATAATTCAGAGTTGGTTTGTTTGTTCTTATTAACACCACTTCATGTAAATTTTATAAGGCGGGGATACTTGTATTGCATGAATTTAATGAGATCACGTACGTTAAGATTTGATGCAGAGGGTTTGATGTGTTACGCTACAAAACCATTATATTTTATAAAGTATGAAAGCTGGATTCCGTATTCCAAGATTAAAATAATGGATTCCGGATCCGAGTCAATGGATTCCGGATTCCACGTCATGGATTCCGGATTCTGAAGTGCAAATTTTTGTTGGATTCCGGAATCCGGATTCCTTTACATAGGGCGAATTCAACTGTCATTTTTTCAAGCTCCTATCACTCCCGTGTTGGGGAAAGGGAATAACAAATCAAAAGGACTAATATTGTGCCTACCACTTGACAAATTAAAGGTAAACTGGAATGTATAGAGGATATTTATGCATGGTTGTGCGGAAATATGTAATTTATTTCGAGTGTTGAAGAGAACTATTGCTAACGAGTGAGCGTAGCAAATTGCAAGTTGTTCCATTATGTGATTTAATAATCTAAATTTTTGAGTAAGGTCATGGACATATTGTAATTATTATGAGTATTTACTATTTTATCTTCGTATCAAACCAAATATATAGCATTGCGAGCTTTAATTGGTATTAAGCTCTGCCAGTTTGAGAACATATGTTTACATATTTAACTACCGCAAAATAAATCCCTCTTTGGCACTGAATTTTGCATGTTATTTAGTATTTTTGTATCACGTTAAGATCAAAATGGACATATTTCTTGAATAATACTTTTAATCTGTGAAATGATATATGTAAAAATATTAGTCCTCATACTTCGTTTTGGATTTGTTACTCAGTTTTGTGATAGATAGGGGTACCAAAGCCTTGATATTTCCAGAGGTATTAAAATACAAAATTAGCCTGTGACAGTATGCTCCGGATTTTACTTCATACTCGATTTGGAGCAACACAAGTTCTACAACAAGAACGTACACGATGTACTGTGCAATTATAAAACGTCATATTTATAGATATTTGATTGACATGTTTACGCCATGCATTTCATACCGCACGGGTTTTCCCGGCATGTTGTAAAAGACGGACTGGACTGGACTGGACTGGACCGGACCGGGAAAACGCGGACTGAGTCCGTGTTTTACAAATCGCGGACTGAATTTGTAAAACACGGACTGGACTGGACTGGACCAGGAAAACACGGACTGAGTCCGTGTTTTACAAATCGCGGGCTGAGATTTGTAAAACGCGGACTCAGTCCGTGTTTTACAAATCGCGGGCTGAGATTTGTAAAACGCGGACTCAGTCCGTGTTTTACAAATCACAACAAGGACTCGTGGGGAACTATATAATGATCACAGAGCATGCCCGTTTGCAGGTTAAAAGGGTCGCCCACCCTAACCTGCGAACGAGAATCGGAAGAAAATCAGTAAAACATGGAATCTCGCCAGCCTAGACCTAGGCCTTCTAGTCTTATTTATATTTTTTAATATTCAGCGCTTTTTCACATGAAAAGACTGGGGCTAGGTGATTTGGGGGCGGGGCGGAGGAAGCAAGCCTAGAAGCCTTCTATTTTTTCGCTTGCGTCAGGCTTGTGTCCTTCCTCCGCCCCGCCCCCAAATCACCTAGTCCCAGTCTTTTCATGTGAAAAAGCGCTGAATATTAAAAATATATAAATAAAAATAGAAGGCCTAGGTCTAGGCTGGAATCTCGCCACGTTTCAAAAATTAACAGCTATATATTTGGCATCCTTTAGCAGCATACATCAAAATACAGCATGAGTATGACGAGTAAGTATATCACAGGTGCTTAATTCATATGTATTTTGATAAGATTTGCCACAGGCATAGGCTATTAAAGAACAACGAGTTCAACTATTTAATATATATTACAATGCAACAAACGGCAATTCGATCTGGGAGACGCGAACAATAACATTTGGACACTTTTTAATATGAATAGTTAATATGTCGATGTGTCATAGCTATGTTAATATACATAATATACCGTCGGCAATATTATGAATAAAATGTCGATACAAAATTATGAATCAATATTTGTTCCACTTCTGTAAGATTTAAATGTCCACTATGTCTACAACATAGATATCTATTTATAGACCATAATGGTCTATATTAATCTATACTTTGAATATATAACAGACTAACAGTCGATGTCGTTGTTTGTCTTGTTTGCAATCACGTGACTTTTTATCCAAATGACGGGCAATCAAACAGCTTGTAAAAACTGAACGGTAATTCATCTTTTGAGTCTTAAAACTGTCTCAAAAACACGATTAATATATTGAATTAGCCGTTTTTCTTATACCTGCCCGTGAACTGAAATCCCAAAATTACGGCATTGCAAACAAAGAATATACAGAAAATGGAGTCTAGTTCATATAACAATGCCAATGGACACAGGACAATGATTGAAAATCATCTTTAAGTTTAAGACAAATATATTTTAAAGTGTGTTATTAAACGCAAATATAAAGTAAGAAACAAATTCTGGAAAGATAAAACATCCTGAGAATAAAATACATGATTCAAAACAAGACCTGTGTCTAGCTTGTTTTGAATTATATATATTGTATTCTCAAGATGGACATGGTTTTTAAACGCAAATATGTAATGGGCTATTCCATTTAAAAGATGTTACCCCCTATCGAGGACAAAGGTTTTACCATATCCCTGAAGAATTCCTGACATAAAAGAGATCTCTGAAGAATTTCTGTTAAATAGCATTTACCCCTGAAGAAATCAGCATTTACCCCTGAAGAATTTCAATTTTTACGTCTTATCCCTGAGGAAATCTCATTCAAAATAACCAATCCCTGAAGAATTCCACAGGAGAATTTGTTTACCCAGGGCATGAGGAATTCCAGGGTTAAAATGACCTTACCCCTGAAGAATTCCAAGCTCCTCGATAGGGGGGTTACAGATATTAAATGGAATAGCCCAATGTGACATTAATATTCAATTCAACTATTTTTCGCTCAGGATTTGTTTTCCTATGGCAATGGCGTCGCCTAGGGAGCTATATATTAGATGATTGATTAGGCTAGGAATGCGAGTTAGAATCACAGTCGATTTGCGCGCTAAAGTGTTTTGATTGTTTTGTATTCCGCCATTTTATTAGCCACTTTAATTTTATATTGACAAAAGATTGACACCCGAAGCGTATCCTTTATAAATCTGCACTATTCTTAGATGATGTCATATTTTCCTTGGTTGGAATATGTTAATGCATGGATCATTGATTGAGATTTTGGCATGTGACAGTGTTTATCTTAACCAATGATTTTAGAAAGTTTTCTCATTTTATATTAAAGTAGATGGCTATTTATGGCTTCTGTATTTCGCGTTTGTGGAACGGACCAACAAGTGAGGGTATTACGTCCTTTGGACGGAAAAGAAATGAAGCCTGGGAATAAAGGGGCTTTCGCATAGCGCGAGTTCGCTGAAATCTTGCTCCATCAAAGTGTGGACGAACTGCTTGAACGCAGGCGATGGGGTAGGGATGTCAGGAATAGGATTTCATCAAAACACCAGCGGGTAAATGTATTAATGTTTTTTGTTTATATAATAAAGCTAATATTTATCATTTCTAGTGTATGACTATTACCGAAGCCAACACCACTTTTTCAGTCCCCGTATATGTAAAACATTTCCATATCGCGCAAAGCATTACGGTTGACTGTGATTCTAATGTCTGCTACTCCAAACTAATTGTTGCACTCCCTTAGCCTTTGGCTCAACTGTTGTAATAAAAATATGTGAGACGCTGTGACCTAAGGAGGACAATTACAGTTTGTTTATATCTAAAAGTAAAATTTCACACTTGCAATCAAATTTAAAGCTGCTTATTGATTGGTTATGCGCCGATCAAAACGAAGGTGTAACATCCCCCGGGTATATACCCGAGCATTTGACTTTTTGGATTTTGCAATGATCAAATCCCCACCCCTAAATCAAAAAACGAAATTCAACTGCCCTACATTCCACAAACTAAGTGGTTGTCAAATGCCTCATTGTAAAATTTGAAGGTTAAAATTCTTCAATTTCTCCAGTTCATTCTGGTCCAACCAATCTTGAACATAATTCACATTTTGACTTCGAAACTGTCGTTTAATAAAAATTGTGCCATTTTCTTGAAAACACAAAAGCAAAAAATGTGCTTTTGATTGACACGTTAAAGCCTGTGGTGTCAGCGGGAAGCAACTCTATCTATCATAGTTTTCACGTTAGGTAAACTAAACGTTTTTCAGTTGTGGTCAAATCCCCGTCGTCATTGTAAGTGGAATCAAATGTACCACCACAATTTTCTCGACAACAAATGCCCGCCCCTAGGGAAAATAACGAATGGCAAATGCCCCTCTCATTCCAGGCGAATATTACACCTTCGTTTTGATTGGCGCATTATATAGATAGTCACAGCGTAGTGAACCTTCCCCGTGAACAAACAAACAAACAAACATAAATAACCAACCCAACGAAGTCATAAATATAAATTATCACTGTACGTACGCATACGCACGAAGTGTGTGTTTAAACCTTGCGGTTATTAATAGTTATTAATATCAATTATCAAGCAACTTATCATAACGTTGATTCAACATAGCAATGTTGGACACATTTTCTTCCAATACCAATACCAATGGAAAGTTTACTTAGAAGGCTATGGCGTTTGAACTTCTTTCTAAATGTCACTAGAATTCAATGTATGACTTTACAATATGACCTTTCAAAGGAGGATATTGAACCTCTTCCTTAGAAGCTGTTTGTGACTTTCCTGTAGGTGAGGAACCAGATCAGAGGGCACAGAAAGCGTGTTTCCTAGATAACCAGGGAATTGGAGTAATATGCAAGATACCCGTGCATGGAAGTAAACCATGGAGAGCTCTGGTGATGTGTGCTCCTTTCCATCTGCTTTGAAATACTTTCGAAATTGTCTCGAAGCTATGATCATATCATTTGGACAAGGAGGTATTGCGGAGTCTGGTTTCAAGGTGTCACGACAACCATAACATTTACATACTCTGGGATCGGTGAATTTCAGTAAGGCTATCACAAACGCACCGGGTGCTGGGTTCGGTTTTCCAGGGTGGATATGTAGCTGCGGATTAATCCCATATTGGAATGACGGACTTTGTACTGCATCATTAAAAGCGCTACTCATTGGAACAGAGATCTGTTGCTGTCGGTGGTGCAAGCTGCCATATTGGAATGACGGACTTTGTACTGCATCATTAAAAGCGCTACTCATTGGAACAGAGATCTGTTGCTGTCGGTGGTGCAAGCTGTAGGGGTGTGAATTAAAATGGTATGAATTCATTTGAAACTGATTTGGGGGACATCCTGTGTTTTGCACATCAACTGCACTTGACATAGAAAATGATCCTAGCTGATTATACCCTGGGCCTGGGACCACTGCAGATGTGGGTACTTGTCGCGGTTGAAAGACACCAGACGATCGAGTTCCTCCAGTCAGTCGGCTGACAACGGGCATCAAACTTTTACCTGCTTCTTTATTTGAAGACCCCTTGCGCCGTTGTGTTGCTTTCGATATCTTTTTACCGGCATTGGCAGGCATATTGATATTAACAACCGAGGTCAGATTTGTCTTCTTTCCGCCTTTTCTGAACCAAGAAAGAAATTCTGGTAGACATTCGGCCATTTCTGCGGCAGCAATACAGTGGGAACATATGCGGTACGAGGTGAAATTTACGCAAGTGCTGTCACACTCAACTTTGTTGGTTTTACTGTGAACAAAAACCGTGTGTGGCTTTGGGCTTGTTTGACTCATTACCATGTACGTAACATATCGTTCCTTTCCATGATCCAGAGAGGGAACTTTCCACACGTTACTTTTGGTCTCCACGGTCCTGGAAGCTTTCTCAAACATAGGTCTTAGAATCTGGAATGGCACATTGATAATTTGTGACTGAGTTGCCGTAACTGAAAGACTGTAACTTTGAGTGCTGACAGGATTTGTTTCAGTGCTGCTGACATTTCCGTTTTTTTCTGACACGGAAATCGTGAAGAATTTTTTTTTCATGTCTATTTTCTGTTTGGGTGTCATTCTGTAGAAATTTGCCTCGTCAACATGTAGGAATTCGAACTCTTTCCTTAGTCGGTATTCTCCTCTACCAATAACAGCCAAAAACTGTTCTTCTTGTTGCCTCTTCACTTCGCTTTCGATTTTTTCGACGTATTCTAAGAAAGTGAGTGACTTTTTCCCATACTGGGTAGGCTTCGTTTGTTTTATAACACGGTTCATACACTCGTTTGCATTTTGTGTGTATACCCTGGGAGGGTACCCGAGACCACACATTGATCTTATGTCGGCCCTGCACGACTCACGCAAAACATCGGATCTTCCATCAAGAAAGTATTTAACAAACTCTTCGCCTTTGGAAAAATTAGACCATTTCTTCACAGCAATGTCACAAGCTTGGTCAAAATCGTCTGAAGAGGTACAGTCAATAAGTCCACCTTCTCGTTTGTCTCCAACGTTTTTGCCAAATATATCACTTATTATTTCCATGGAAAACTCTTTCGTCATGCCAAGTTCATCTAACTTATGTTGAATATTGTCTCGCAAATGGATGTCGCATCGTAAATGTTTGGCGTCACTGAACACATCACTAAAAGCATGATATAAATTCGGTTCACCATCAGTTCCATACACCAAAACACCATTTATGCCTGGTTGATACTTAGTCATTAGGAGCGGTAGATTTTTGTAAGATGACGTGAGCTTTCTTTTGTGTAGAATTCCGGGACCAATAGTGACAGGATGATTACCTCTTTCGGTCTCTAGAAGAAGGTTTTGGTATGTCACAAATGTAAAGTAATAATCAGAAATTTGAAACGTTGCGTCAACCCCCAATACACAGAATGACTCTGGATTCGTGCAAAATCGTTCGACGTCAAATAATTGTTGCTCGGTAGTTAGAAACACCACTGGTTCTGGAAACATAGGAATGTCACGGATAAAGCCAATCGTTTCATTGTTACGTTCGCACTGTTCCTCCTTAGCCTTGATGAGTACATCCAAGAAAGGATCTTTAACACATGTCGAAATTTTGCCGTTGGGGTTACCTAAACCTCTTTTTGCATTATATATCTGTGTCCTATTTCGCGGAAACTCGCCGGCCGACTGTATTTGGTCGATACCACCTCTCTCTTCTATTACATCATGGACAACCTTACGAGGTGAATGCTTTGCGAGCTTAGCTTGGACAAGATCTTTAGTACTTTGCATGGTTCTTTTGTATGGTTTTGACTCTTTTGTTTTGTTGTTGGAATTTCCATGTGGTTTCACGTGCACACGCTGCTCACCTTCTGTAAATATGTACTGCACGAAAGCCAAATCAAGCTGCTCCTTGGTGTTTAGGTTTTCAGCGGTTACAATTGATTTTCGAAGTGATGGAAGACTGATATTTTTGTAAAATAGTCGACGAAGCAGAAAAACCGAACGACCAGACACGTTTTCTTCAATGCTGATTTTTTGTACATTACTTTGTTTCTTTTCATACAAGAACTTTTTGGATCCAGTCACTGTCCAGCCTCCAAGATCGTCGCATTTGATGTCTTCCCTGTCCCCAAGAGCATCGGTTTTAACAACAAACACAACATTCTTCTCGATGGCTGTGGGAACAGACGACGCTACTCTGCTTGACTCTTTGCAACCATTTATGATGATATCTGCAACTTTATCGGTAGAAATCCCCTTTGTCAGCCCACACTTGTACACTGGCAGGGATTTGTTTTCGTTGTAATATAAAGTTTTTGTAAAACAGCTTTTAAATAGGAAATCATCATCTAAAATGAGATAATTTAATACACTATAATCTTGTAAATGCATGGCACATGAGTGATTTGGGATAGCGCTCCTTAGATATTTGGAAAAAATCAATTATGATAAGGCTGGAGCAAAAATTCTTCTTTTACTGCAAAACCGGATGTTCTCCAGTATTGCAATATTGATCAGTATTGCAATGTTGTCCCGCAATATTGCAAATTTGGTTCACGGAGTGCTCTGAAAAATTTGAAATTGAAATTCACAGTAAGATTTGTGAACAAAGCTACTGATTGGCCACTAGAAACCAAAGAGGCAAATCAAATGCTTTGAGCAATCGAAATGGAGCTTCTTAGTTTTCCAATAAGACGTTTTTCGATACCATAAATATTTAAAAAGAAAACTTGTAATTTGACTGAATTTGAATATGGGCCTGCAACAATCTCTAGGAAATTTGGTGGGGCCGTGAGAGGACACGAAAATCCTATTGGCTAAAATAATATATGCCAAAATACGCATAAATTATATACAATCGTCTGTGGCGCAATGTTTATACGCTTTCAATAAAAGCAAATATTTTTGAAGGAGTGCTGTGAATATGGATTTTAGACTAAAAACTGAACAGCTGCAGAATCGTTGAGATGTTCAACCTCGTTCCCAGGCTTTCCCAAAAAGAGGGAAGAGCCTGGGAACGAGGTTGCGAGATATTTTGGCATGTTTTCTAATTGGATATCTGCCTTGACAAGTAGAAGAGCATGGATACAAACCCATGTCCATGCACGTGTTGGTATTTCTCTAAATAATACAGTCGCTATACCCAATCAACTTGAAATACTGATTGACAAATTATGTATTCTATTAAAGTTCGGAATACATGTCGCTTTATGCATTTATGAAACTTACTACTCGATCTACAGTTGCTTTTATGTTATTATGAGTTTTACAGCAGACTAGAAACTACAGTGCAATTGACAGTAGCTTGTATTGTGATATATTTTTAGAGTTAAGAGTTTGTTATTGTCAATTTGTAAACGATTATACTGTTCAGCCGTTGCAATTTTGAAACATATATTCGCAGATAGCTGGTCATATTTTGTATGATTTTGAAATTTATTGTAATGTTTCTTTCTTTTGATATCAAAACATTTTTCAGTTCCGTTCATTATTAATACGTAAAAATAGTCGTAAAAATTGAGTAACGGCATTTAATTAAACTGTTTATCAAGTCAAAATGTTTTGTTCTAGTGAATTGTATCGCATACTAATGTACCAAACCGACATCGCCGGTGTAAATTCTGTTTTATTTCTTCCAAAAGTAACTTATTAAACTGCCAATTTTTTAAAAGTTTGAATTTTCGAGCTATTCTATGAACTACAACAGTAATAAAGTATATCAGTTATTACTATGATTGGTTGCATGGATTAGAAATAAATTATCATAGTAATTATTGGGCTGTGATCAAATTTATTTGAGATTGTTGCAGGCTCTCAATTACCCATTGAGCCTGTCATGCAGGCTAGTTTTGTGCACAATAGGGGTATAAGAATAAGTTCAGTTGTGTAAGACCAACGGGATCGTGATGTTCTAGAAACATGGGCCGGGATATAACCTTAATGCATGTGCATAATCGATCAATGACTAACATATCAATTTACAGTATCGTTTCATTACCAATGCTCTTGTCTAAATCATCGACCTCCATCTTCTCAGATAGTTCAGTAGTGTTATCTTTTGAAACTTGTTTTCCATTGCTGCCAAGGACGATTATCTCGTTAACGCAATCGTCCCTCGTATTGCCTGGTCGCTCACTGTTCTGTTCTCTGGAATTGCTTCTTTCATTCATATTCACAACAACGACATCGTTAATACCATCCAAATCCATCTTTTCTGGTTGCTCATCCTTTTTATCTTTTGACTTGTTGTTATCACTCCCACCGATAGATCCGAATACCTCGTCGACATGAACGTACTCTGTCTCTGTTCTCTCAGGTTGTTCATCGCGTCTGCCGTTTGACCCCTCGCCATTATTATGGGAAATGACTGCATTCCCTATTTCGTCGGCACTATTTATTGGTGAAAAAATATAGAGTATGACTTAAGAGTATTAACTGTTTGGAAACACTGCCGGTTAGACGTCTGCGCATTTGTGCTCATGTCTGATATGCACCCCTAAGGGGCCAACCATTTAACTTTTGAGGGGGGGGGGGGGGGGGTGATTTACTGCTGGCAGGGAATTTTTTTCTGGGATCATTATGTGCAAGATATTTTTTTATCCCATCACCATGTACGATATTTTTTTTGCCACACTTTCTTTCGCAGCATTTTTTTTCAATAGCTTATACTATTTAGATTCTTTAATTATAGTTAACGTTGAGTTTTCTAGCTTCGTGCATTGCACTTCACTTAATAATACATATTGCTATGAGGTATAACCAGGGCGCTTATATATATAAGCGCCCTGGGTATAACATTTGGTTCAGCGCCATTTTTTAAGGATGTGTAACTGCATGGAGAGGACATAATTAGCGGGGAACCTGGAGAAGTTCCAGTCGGCAAGTCTGTATCCAGGGCCGTCGCTAGCATGTAT